TAGTTATGGCACTGTACCATTGCTGTTTAATTGTTTGTTCATAATTGCTGCTTCCCTTGGGAAACAAGTTTGGGTGTTCTTAGCCAGTGCACAGACCCTCAACACTGTGGCCTGTGCTATAACTGTTGGACCCTCCTGTGAGTGGGTCATTAAAACCACCATTTTAAAAACACGGGTAAATATTTTGGCCACTTAAAAAATTCTGGTCAATATTTTGGCCATTAAGATAATAGTGGCCATTATAATGGCCAGAAGTGACTTTTTAAAGGGGTATGAGGGTTGTAAAAAACAGTGTTAAAGTGAAATGAAAAATTATTATAACCTCCTCACTAACCTAAAAGCACAAATAAATATTCAAAAGTTTTGAAAATTAAAACTTTCAGAAACGCGACGGAATTTCCGAAAGTAGTCCGGACGCTGTTACTAGTATAAAAAAAAAAAAACTAAACACAACTAAAACAACAAACTTGCCCAAAAGTGGGTTAGAAATGCAAATTAATTAATTAATTAAGTAAATGTTAGGATTACTTATTTAGATATCTGTGAGGCAGCTGTTTTTTTTAATTTGCTTTCTCTTATGTTGAAACACCGTCCCTCAACCCTGTTGAGGGACGGTGGTTGAAACATTCGTATATATATTTTGCTAGACATTTTAGTATGACAGTATTCTTTGTGCCTAGTATGTTAATAAAGCTTGTATCAGTGTTGCCCTCAGAACACTGTCTAAATGTGTTGATAAGGATTTGTCTTTCATGTTTGTACAACTGACATTTTAACAGAAAGTGCTCTTCATCTTCAATATCATTTGTATTGCATACAGGACAGCATTAATTCATTAATTCATGCTTATATCAACAATAGCCTTCGTCTGAACTGCGGATTCACCATATCATGTCATTTGCCATTCTCGTATCGTTGAACTACGATGCCACGGCGATGACCACGATGCTTAGAGTGATGTCTACTGCTGTCAGCGATAAAAAAATATATTCGCTGAACTGTGCTTACACTTTCACTCTCATAAATGCTGCTACTGATATGTGGTAATAGCAAAGATAATAAATTTGAGACAATAAATCATATTGTAAAACATGGCTGCACATCGAAAAGTCAAGTTGAGTTCACGTCTGCGATTGAACAATCACTTGATGCTTGTTGAGGTCCCAAGCCCAGTTGATACGTTGCATAGTTTTATTTTTTTATGGAATATTTGTTTGCATATGGCTTCGAAATCGGTCATAGATAGATGCGTGTCCACTAACTATATAATTCAAGTTTCTGAGACAAGCCATTTGGGACAATGCGCCACAGTCAGCTGGCGCACAGGTGATAATAAAATAAATGCGATATTTACTATATGGAGGC